GGATTTGGAACCAGGGGATCCAGTTTCCGGAGCCACACAGTCCCTGCCCTGTGCCGATGCATCACTGAAGCACAGTTTATATTTTCCCCACTTTATTGGAAACTTTGTTGGAAGTGGCCTCAGCGGCTTCAGAGGAGTAAGCAACACGACAAAGACGTGAACCTTAAATCCATCCTTCCAACTCCTGGACACATGTTTTGTGCCAGCAGATCTAGAATGGGGACAAAGGCTGTGCCATCTATCGTGTGCTGAGCCCTTGAAATGTGACAAGTCAGAACTGACGTGCGCTCTAAGTGTCAAATAGAGACTGAGTCTCAAAGGCCTTAGTTACCCAAAAAAATGTGAGACACCTCGTAATTTTCTATTAATTATAAGTTGGGATGTTTTTAATATATTGGGTTAACTAAAATACCTTATTAAAATTAATTTCACCTGGGCATGGTGGTGCATGCCTGTAATCCCAGCACTCTGGGAGGCCAAGGCAGGCAGATCACTGGAGCTCAGGAGTTCAAGGCCACCCTGGGCAACATGGCAAAACCCCATCTCTACAAAAAATACAAACATTAGGTGGGGCACGGTGGCTCACGCCTGTAATCCCAGCACTTTGGGACGCTGAGGCAGGTGGATCATGAGGTCAGGAGTTCGAGACTACCCTGGCCAAGATGGTGAAACCCCATCTCTACTAAAAAAAATTAAAAAATTAGCCAGGCACGGTGGCAGGAGCCTCTAATCCCAGCTACTCGGGAGGCTGAGGCACGAGAATGGCTTGAACCCAGGAGGTGGAGGTTGCAGTAGTGAGCCGAGATCGGCCACTGCATTCAAGGCTGGGTGCCAGAGCAATACTCCATCTCAAAACATAATAATAATAATACAAACATTAGCCAGACGTGGTGGCGCACACCTGTGGTCCCAGCTAGTTGGGAAGCTGAGGTAGGAGAATCACCTGAGCCTGGGGTGGTAGAGGTGGCGGTGAGCTGAGATTGCGCCACTGCACTCCAGCCTGGGCAACAGGGCAAGACTCTGTCTCAAAAAAAAAAAAAAAAAAAAAAAAGCTGGGCACGGTGGCTCAAGCCTGTAATCCCAGCACTTTGGGAGGCCCAGACGGGTGAATCACGAGGTCAGGAGATCGAGACCATCCTGGCTAACACGGTGAAACCCCCTCTCTACTAAAAAATACAAAAAAAACTAGCCGGGCGAGGTGGCGCCCGCCTGTATTCCCAGCTACTCGGGAGGCTGAGGCAGGAGAATGGCATGAATCCGGGAGGCGGAGCTTGCAGTGAGCTGAGATCCGGCCACTGCACTCCAGCCTGGGTGAATGAGCGAGACTCCGTCTCAAAAAAAAAAAAAAAAAAAAAAAGGCTGGGAGCAGTGGCTCATGCCCATAATCCCAGCACTTTGGGAGGCTGAGGCAGGTGGATCACGAGGTCAGGAGCTCAAGAACAGCCTGGCCAACAGAGAAACTTTTGTCTCTACTAAAAATACAAAAAAATTAGCCAGGCATGGTGGCGCATGCCTGTAATCCCAGCTACTCGGGGGGCTGGGGCAGGAGAATGGGGCGTGGTGGTACACACCTGTAGTCCCAGCTACTCGGGAGGCTGGGGCAGGAGAATGGCGTGAACCCGGGAGGCGGAGGTTGCAGTGAGCCGAGATCATGCCACTGCACTTCAGCCTGGGCAACAGAGTAAGACTTTGTCCCTCCTGCCCCCCACCACCCCCCCAAAAAAAAGAAAAGGAAGAAAAATTAATTTCACCGTTTCTTTTTACCCTTTTGACATGGTTACTAGAAAACTTCACATCATCTAGGGGGCTCACATTCTTTTTCTATTAGACCACTCGGGGCTACGGAGTTCCCATTTTAACCAGACTCTTAAAAAAAAAAAAAAAACCACTGAAGAAAGAAATTACAGAATTGTGCTCACAGAAACCTTCTTTACCAGAATATCCAACGTTGGTGTATGGCTTCCTGTAAAGCATTTTGCACTCAAACTTCTGCGCATAAGACACGAATTCCAAAGGCCTTTGGATGCCTTGAAGCTTACGCATCAAACAGAACTAGAAAAGCTTCAACACGGAAGCAAGCTCGTTTCGCCTCCGGAACGCGCCAGCTGCTCTCCTGATGAATGCGGGCATTCAGGGCTCATGGATCCGCTGCGGATGCCTCTATTCTGGGCTTCTTCCATATGATTAGGAGGCTGTTCCCACTCTGTAGTTTTTCATTCCAAGCTGCGTGCGATTTTCTGCAATCAGGTTTGTTTCTCCAGGGTTCAATGGGTGGCGATGAAAACACGGAGAGTTTGACAATCCGGGCAGGTGGTGAATATGGAAGCTAAGAGGATTGCAAGCAGTGGCTGCATCTGGGGGAGGGTGCGTTAACTCTGCCAAGTCCCAGGAGGGGCCATGAGTGGTCCCGGGGGGCTGCCAGGTGCACAGTGTCCTCTGGCTATGCCGACGCCTCCAATTCTTTGAGCAGTGAGGTGACTGAGTTGGCATAAGGCCTCTTAAAGGTTGAACTCAGAGATGTTTCTGAATGGCCTGGGATGTCAACAAGTATGAACCAGTGTGCCCATCATGGCTAGTGGACCTCATTCCCCCATCTCTGATCAGTAAAATGGGGATGTCAAGGACCGACGGGCAGTGCTGAGAGATTCCACATGTAACAGGGCTATGGTATAGTAGTTTCCCGTGGCTGCCGCAACAAACCACTACGAACTGGGCGGTTTACAACAGAAATTCATCCACTTGCGGTTCTGGAGGCCGGAAGTCTGAATCAAGGTCTCGGCGGGGCCACGCTCCCTCTGAAAGCTCAAGGGAAGATCCTTCCTCGCCTCTTCCAGCTTCTGGTAGCCCCAGGTGTTCCTTGGCTTATGGCTCCGTCCCTCCAGTCCCTGTTTCTCACTTCCCAGGGCCATCTTCTCCCTATGTTTCTTGGTGCTTCTGTGTCCAAATTTCCCACTTCTTATAAGCACATCAATCATTAAATCATTAATCCAAGACGATCTCACTTAACTTGATCACATCTGCAGACCCCATTCCCAAACAAGGGCTCACTCACAGGCCCAGGGCTAGGACTGGAATACATATTCTTACTCTCGGGGAGCACATTTCAGCCCACACGACTGGCTAAGCAGCGGGCCCCACAGCCCTCCTGCTCTTATTTACCAAGAGTGGGCTGGGTGTGGTGGCTCACGCCTATAATCCCAGCACTTTGGGAGGCTGAAGCAGAACGGTTTGAGCCCAAGAGTTTGAGAACAGCCTGGGCAACATGGTAAGACCCTGTCTCTACAGAAAATGTAAAAAGTAGCTAGGCCTGGTGGCATGGGCCTGTGGTTCCAGCTACTCGGGAGGCTGAGGTGGGAGGATCACAAGCCCAGGAAGTTGAGGCTGTAGTGAGCCATGACTGAGCCACTACACTCCAGCCTGGGCAATAGAGTGAGATCCTAAACAAAAACAAACAAAGGCCAGGGATGGTGGCTCACGCCTGTAATCCCAGCACTTTGGGAGGCCGAGGCGGGTACATCATGAGGTCAGGAGATCGAGACCATCTTAGCTAACACGGTGAAACTCCCTCTCTGCTAAAAATACAAAAAATTAGCCTGGCATGGTGGTGGGTGCCTGTAGTCCCAGCTACTCAGGAGGCTGAGGTGTGAACCCAGGAGGCGGAGCTTGCAGTGAGCAGAGATAGCGCCACTGCACTCCAGCCTGGGCGACAGAGTGAGACTCAAAACAAACAAACAAACAAAAAGGGCCTCTTTGTGCCAGGTGCAGAGCTGGGGCCAGAGTGCAGCCTGGAGACACCAGGCCTAGGCTGTTGACATAAATGATGTGGTTTATGACAACACCTGCATTCCCTCTAGGAGTCTAGAATTTTGACACATGTCAAGCAGAGGGTGACGACATGACCAGGCCCCAATAAAAAGCCTGGGCACGGAGTCCTCGGTGGGCACCCTCTGCTGGGGGAATTAAGTGCGTCCCGTGTGACTCCCCAGGGAGAGGACTTTGAAGCTTGAGCTTAGCCTCCCCGGGACTTCACACGCCTTTTCCCTTTGCTGATGGTGCTTGCATCCTTCCGTCACAATAAATCACAGCCGTGAGGACAGCTATATGCTGAGTCCTGCCAGTGCTCCTAGGGAACCGGTGAGCCTGTAAGTGGTCTTAGGAACCCTGCCACATGCAGCAACTGCAGACCTTCCCGTGAGACAGGTGGCAGCTGGGACTAGGGTGGTGGGGCTGGAAAGAGCCCAGCTGGGGCGCTCAATGGTCTCAACAGCTACAACCCTGGACGGCCAGTTCAGCAATGTCTGAGGCCATGCATCTCTCCCTCAGCCTTTCTGAAGATTCTTTTGAGTGTCTCTGTCTCCATGAAATCCCCTTCTACCTAAATAACTAGTCATTTATTGCACGGATCCCAGTGAGCCAGAGCACTATACCTCTGGTCCATGTGTTTTGCCTAGGGACACACAAATTGGCACTACCCAGTCAGTCGCACCTTACCCTAAATGGCATCTAGGAAATCTCAGCTTTGATGGGCCATTTGTTTTTTATTTTTGTTATTATTTTAGAGGAGTCTTGCTCTGTCGTCCAATCTGGAGTACAGTGGCATGATCATAGCTCACTGCAGCCTCAAACTCCTGATCTCAGGCAATCCTCCTGCCTCAGCCTCCCGAGTGGCTGGGGACTACAGGTGCACACCACCACACCCAGCAATTTTTTGGTACTTTTTTTGTGGAGATGGGATTTCACCACATTGCCCAGGCTGGTCTGGAATTCTTGGGTTCAAGCAACCGTCCCACCTTGGTCTCCCAAAGCACTGGGATTACAGGCATGAGCCACTGTGCCTGGCTTCTATATGAGACTATTAAAATAAAAAATGTTTACTCCTATCCTCACTGACCAGCCCTCCGCAACCTTCTCATGTATTACTCACTGTGAGTACCAGTTCCACACCACCAGAACCACCAAAATAGAATGACACCTTACGCGAATGCCACCCCCACACCTACCATCAAGTCCAAGAACATCCAAGAGCTCGGTCCACACTTTCCACAGTGTCTCCACGAACATATCCACTCCCAACACGAACCTCTCGGTCAGCCTGGCCAAGAACTGCAGAAACAAGAAAACAGTCATCACCCAATTTCTACTCACCACTCCACTGTTTTCCTCTATCTGTCAAGCAGTGAACCGGGGAGCCCGGGAGTTTATACCTGGGAAGGGAAAAACCGCACGTCCATGATGAATACCACGCACGCGGTCTACTGGCCCAGGGGAGTGACTTGAACTGGATACTGATGACAGCCCAACTGAGAAAAATTGGTGAAAATGACCCCTTCCTTGGAAGGGCTGAACAAGGCACCTATGGAGGCTGGGACTCTGCAGGGCCGCGTTACGCCACTTGCCGTAGCTCCTGCTGTCTTTCATGCTCCCTGTTGGGTCAGGGTCTCTGCTTTCTTCTGTCTGATTTCTCTTTTTTTTTTTTTTTGAGACGGAGTCTCGCTCTGTCACCCAGGCTGGAGTGCAGTGGCCGGATCTCAGCTCACTGCAAGCTCCACCTCCCGGATTCACACCATTCTCCTGCCTCAGCCTCCCGAGTAGCTGGGACTACAGGCGCCCGCCACCTCGTCCAGCTAGTTTTTTGTATTTTTTAGTAGAGACGGGGTTTCACCGTGTTAGCCAGGATGGTCTCGATCTCCTGACCTCGTGATCCACCCATCTCGGCCTCCCAAAGTGCTGAGATTACAGGCTTGAGCCACCGTGCCCGGCCTTCTGCCTGATTTCTCTAAAGAGACAGGGTCTCACTGTTGCCCAAGCTGGGGTGCAGTGGTGCAATGATAGCTCGCTGCAGCCTCCAACTCCCGGGCTCAAGCAATCCCGCCTCAGCTTCCCAAGTAGCTAGGGCTACAGGTGCAGCCACCACACCAGGCTTTATTATTATTATTCTTATTATTATTATTTTGTAGAGACGGGGTCTTGCTATATTGCCCAGGCTGGTCTCAAACTCTAAGCCTCAAGCGATCCTCCTGCCTGGCCCTCCCAAATTCCTGGGATTACAGGTGTGAAACACTGTACCACACCCTGCAGTTTCTCATTTTTAAAGAGTGGAAGTTTCTGCTCCTAAGAAGCTGGTAATGATAGAGCCCCATGCTCTATCCAACTCTAAGGACCCTGGGCCTCTGAGGTCTTCATTTGCCCTCCAGGTGACACAGGGCTAAAGAAACATGAATACAAGGTACAGCTTCATTTTAACTTTTTTTTTTTTTTTTTTTAAAAGCGATATTGTATACATGTAGCACAAAACTCAAGCCTACCAATAGGTATTCAGTGGACAGTAAGCCTTCCCTCTCATTTCCTGGCAACCTGAATCCCCCTCCAGAGGAACCACTATGACCACTCGCTTGTGAACCCTTCCTTAGATGTGCCAGGTGAATAATGGCACGGACATATTCTTTCCACAGTGGCAGCACAGGTGTACAGCTGAGCTGCTTTCCTCGTGCAACACTCTTATCTTGGAGCTCACTCACACTCAGAACACAGAGCTGCCTCACCTTTTAAAAGACGGCACACCTGGAGCCAGGCCCCTACTCATGGACACCTGTGTGGTTTCCAGCCTTTGCTATTACGGTGAAAAAACAGCGGGCCCACGATGAATGCCACCCAAGTGGTCTACTGGCCCAGGGGATGAACTTGAACTTGATACAAATTGATGACAGCCCAACAACTGAGCAAAACTGAGTAAAACACACCCCTTCCCTTGTAAGGGCTGACCAAGGTATCCATGGGGGCTGGGATTCCGCAGGGCTGCAGCACACAGAGTGCTGCCATAATAGAACCCACCTACATGGGCCACTTGGCTCATGTGTGCAGGGTAAATGCCTCTGTGAATTGGCGACAGCATTTTTTTTTTTTTTTTGAGACAGGGTCTTGCTCTGTCACCCAGGCTGGAGTGCAGTGGTATGATCTCGGCTCACTGCAGCCTCCACCTCCCAAGTTCAAGCAATCCTCCCACCTCAGGCTCCCAAGTAGCTGGGACTACAGGCTTGCACCACCACACTCAGCTAAAATTTTTGTATTTTTAGTAGCGACAGGGTTTCACCATGTTGGCCAGGCTAGTCTTGAACTCCTGACCTCAGGTGATCTGCCCACCTCGGCCTCCCAAAGTGCTGGGATTATAGGTGTGAGTCACTACACCTGGGCAGCTACAGTAGTTTATTTTATTTTATTTTGAGTCTCACTTTGTCGCCAGGCTGGAGTGCAGTGGCACGATCTCAGCTCACTGCAACCTCCGCCTCCTGGGTTCAGGCGATTCTCCTGCCTCAGCCTCTCGAGTAGCTGGGACTACAGGCATGCACCACCATACCCAGCTAATTTTGTATCTTTAGTAGAGATAGGGTTTCCCCATGTTGGCCAGGATGTTCTCGATCTCTTGACCTCATGATTCACCAGCCTCAGCTTCCCAAAGTGCTGGGATTACAGGCATGAGCCACCATGCCCAGCTAGCTACAGCATTTTAAACTGGATATCCTGACTGGATGGTTCCTACAGGACAGAGGAGATAAGAGCAGGGCTGAATCAGGAACTAGGAGAGTAGAAAATGCCAATAACCTCAGAGGTAGCACTGTGGCTGAGAAAGCACAAGCCGGGCTGTTGACTGCCTGGGTTCAAATCCCAGCTCTGCCTCTTACTAGCTGGGTTTCCATGAGCATATTATATATATTCATAAGCTCTCTGGGGCTTTAGGGTTTGCACTAACAATGGAGATAACAGTACCTATTTCATCTGGTTATTGTGAGCTTTACATGGGATATTCATGTGAAATGCTTTAAGCACATGGTAAGTGTTCAAGACTCCTGTCGACATCCAATATTCTTCTTTTTTTAAGACATGGTCTCACTCTGTCACCCAGGCTGGAGTGCACTGGCGCAATCTCGGCTTAAGGCAAACTCTGCCACCTGAGTTCAAGCAATTCTCCTGCTTCAGCCTCCTGAGTAGCTAGAATTACAGGTGCCTGCCACCACACTCGGCTAGTTTTTGTATTTCTAGTAGAGATGGGGTTTCACCATGTTGACCAGGCTAGTCTCGAACTCCTGACCTCAAGTGATCCGCCTTCCTAGGCCTCCCAAAGTGCTGGGACTACAAGCATGAGCCACCGTGCCCGGCCAATGTCCAATATTCTAACAGAAGCATTGACTTCACAATGTCCTATGAGGACACCAACATTTTAGCCCTAAAAAATGGTATAGAGGCTGGGCATGGTGGCTCACACCTATAATCCCAGCACTTTGGGAGGCTGAGGTGGGAGGATTGCTTTAGCCCAGGAGTTTGAGACCAGCCTGGGCAACCAAATGAGACCCTATCTCTAATTTACCTTAAGAAAAAATGTTAGGCTGAGCGTGGTGGCTCATGCCTGTAATCTCAGCACTTTGGGAAGCCAAGGCGAGTAGATCACCTGAGGCCAGGAGTTCAAGATCAGCCTGGCCAATGTGGCGAAACCTCGTCTCTACTAAAAACATAAAAAATTAGCTGAGTGTGGTGGTGCACGCCTGTAATCCCAGCTACTTGGGAGGCTGACGCAGGAGAATTGCTTGAACCCGGGAGGCAGAGGTTGCAATGAGCCGAGATTGTGTCATTGCACTCCAGTCTGGGTGATAGAGGGAGACAGCATCTCAAAAAAAAAAAAAAAAAAGATGGTTGGGCGCAGTGCCTCACGCCTGTAATCCCTGCACTTTGGGAGACCGAGGCAGGTGGATCACCTGAGGTCAGGAGTTCGAGACCAGTCTGATTAATGTGGTGAAACCCCATCTCTAGTAAAAATACAAAAAAAATTAGCCGGGTGTAGCGGTGAGCGCCTGTAATCCCAGCTACTTGGGAGGCTGAGGCAGGAGAATCGCTTGAACCTGGGAGGTGGAGGTTGCTATGAGTTGAGATCACACCATTGCACTCCAATCTGGGCAACAGAGCGAGACTCTGTCTCAAAAAAAATAAATAAATAAAAATAAAAAAGATTTTCATAGGAGCGTGAACCCTATTGTGAACTGCATGCTCCTTGTGTTAACCTAATGCCTGATGATCTGTCACTGTCCCCCATCACCCCCAGACGGAACAGATGGAACCGTCTAGTTGCAGGAAAACAAGCTCAGTGCTCCCACTGATTCTACATTATGGTGAGTTGTATAATTATTTCATTCTATATTACAATGTAATGATAATAGAAATAAAGTGCACAATAAACATAACGTGCTTGAATCATCCTGAAACCATCCCCCCACCCAGTTCATGGAAAAACTGTCTTCACAAAACCGGTCCCGGCTGCCAAAAGGTTGAGGACCGCTGCATTAGAGAGACGAGGAGGGTGACTGCCCCTTCCTTGGGTGGGGGTAGGTGGGGGGATCTGGGAGGAGGGCCTGCAGAAGACCAGCGTAAATCAGAACCACAACCACAAAGAGGTCTTCCAGAGATTCCGTGTCACGGCACACATCCCAGCTCAGTGGTTCTCAGAGTGCGGTGGTGCCCGAACTAGCAGCAGCATCACCCAGGAGCTTGCCAGAAATGCAGACTCTCAGGGCCCCACCCAGATCCACTGCCTCAGACTCTCCAGGGATGGAGCCCAGCAATTTGTTTCCACAAGCCTCCTGGTGATGCTGATGAACACTCCAGGTTGAGGACCTTGACTCAGAGAGGCAGTTGCACATGTTCCTTCAGAGCAGCACTGCACTAAAGAGCTGCAGGCAGGCCAGACATACGTGGACAATGGAAGAGACACATAAGACAGTGATCTGCTCATAAAATGGAGTCCATATCCACAGCAACAAAAACAAAGGATGGACATATCCAGCAACATCAAGAAATAGCAGAAAGTAATAATAATGAGTAAATAGATTACAGAATGTATGCCCCCCCCCTTTTTTGGAGACAGGGTCTTGCTCTGTTGCCCAGCCTGGAGTACAGTGGGGGTAATTGTGGCTCACTGCAGTTTCAAACTCCTGGGCTCAAGCAATCCTCCCACCTCAGCCTCCCATGTAGCTAGGACCACAGGCAGCTGCTACCATGCCCAGCTTTTCCTGTCACAATTTTTTTTCTTTTTCCGGAGACAGAGTCTTGCTTTGTCA